TATTTCTGCCCCTAACACCTACTCTGTGTCAGATATTTTCACTGTATTTTCTCATTTAATTTTCACAGTATTCCTGAAAGGTAGTTATTAGCACTCAAAAAAAACCCGAAAACTTAGGTTAAGCAATTTACCTCTAGAATACAGAGGTTGAACTGTATGGAACTATGTGGAACTGTGAAAAGTGGCTGAAGATCTGTACTTTCCTGTGTTTCAACCTAATAGAATGTGAGCGAGCTAGTACTTCAGTCCTGAAGGCTACCCTCTTTGCCTTGTACCATATGCTGCCCTAAGTACCAGATTCTTTCTTTCTCCCCTTGGCAGTGTGGTGGTTTCAGACTCACGTCTCTCACCCCCTAAAATATTAGGACTAGGGAGCCAAGAGGAAGGGCAGCCCAAGGTCTGACATGTGTTGAGTTGGGTCTAGGCATGTTTGTCTGGAGGCGAAAGCGGAATTGCATTATGGGCCTCTATTGATTTGTGTACCTGCTGCTATTTACAGCTGCCATGTGTGTGCGTTTCCGTACACTATCTGATTCTAGATCCCTTCTGTTTATCACACTCGACGGTAATTATCTGCTTAATTGCCCCCATAGGCTGTAAATTCCCCGAGGACTGTGATTGTGTCTCCTCCTTCTTTCTAGTACCTATCAGAGTACCTTGTGCATCCAAAGTACATGCTTCATAAACATTTGATCAAAAAAGAAGTAAAACAAATGCTACCATCTCACAAGCCACCCTGTCTTCTGCCCAGTGAACACCCTTTCTCCTTCTTTTGTCTCTCCCCTGTGTCTGTTCATACACCTGACCTCCTTACCGCCTCCGAACTCATTCACAGCTCAGTGTTTTTTCGGATGTGACTGGTTTGTCTGCTTGGGCTGGGAAGAGAATGGTATTGTTTTCAGGCCCCTACGAAGGACTGACATGGGTTGGGCTTGAAGGAGAAGACCTGAATCGAGAAACTTTGCCATTTGGATGTGGATCCTTGTATTATGTATTGTATGACCTGAAATTTTCCACTTGGGTTTTTTCCATCCCTTTGGGGGCCTGGACATTAAAGCAGGCTCTGGCCGGGAAGTGCCCTGGCCGCGTAGAGTCCTCTGGGTACAGAGACTATGGACACTGCCCTGCTGTCCTTTCCCTGGCAATGAAGGACGCTTGTCACATGTTGGGGCAACCTAGGTGTCTCCTGTGGGGCTTAACTGCGCTAGTAGGAGACAGTGAACTCGGAATCTAGAAAGGCAGAAATTTCACCTCTGAGTAAAGTCTTTCCTGTATCATAGGGTCTACGGGCTGTTAAAAAAACGAAATCCAACCCAGCACATTTGAAGATCTCACTGGCTTTATTAAGCGACTCATGAGTCAGGCAGCGTCCCGCCTAGCAACTAGAGGGATGATCCCGGGGTTGTACAAAATGAAAGCTTTTTACAGGAAGAAGGGGAGGGAAGGGAGCTGATAAAAGGAAAGGACTATTTTTAGACCACTGACATTTTCTTTTGGGAGCTGGGGGACAGCAAGGGTTTTTATCCTGCAGATAGCCTCTTCTCAATATGGGGCATGGTGAGGGCCCATGTGATAGATTACCTCATGGGTGCTGAGCAGAAAATTCCAGACTGGTTGATTAAATTATGTTTCTGGGAGAATTTGAAAGGGAAATTAGGTCAGGTATTAAATCCAGGTTTGGTATCACGGGCTTTAGCACAAGGTTTTTTTGTGACTGCATTCACTTAACATAATGTGTTCAAGGCTCACCCATGCTGTATATATCATTTCTCCTAATGGCCAAATAATATTCCATTGCATGGCTATACCACATTTTATTTATCCACTCATCAGCCAATGGGTGAAATTTTAAAAAGTGACTCTAGAACTTGACAGTGTCCAATATTTATGCTTGAAATGACTGAGCTCCTGAATGGTACTTGTACATTTTGGATTATATAGCAATTTCAACTTAATACCTTATTTCCTTACCTACAGTGATGTCCACCCTTCTCTTTCTTACCCAGTCAGCCTCCTTGGGTTAGGTTATATCTGAACTCCCTTACCAATGATCACCATTAGCATTTTTTAATCCATATCTTGGAATTTTGCTCTTCTTCCCTCAACTGGATTGCAAGCATACTGAGTATAAGAAATACGTATTAGACATTGTTATTACTCCCCACAGGGTCTCTAAAGTCCTTTTACACTAAGAGTGTTGCTAAATGTGCAGGACAAGGGCCTGCAAGAGTCAAAGCTGACCCATTCACACGGCTGGCTGTGATCACACGTCTTCAATTTGAACGTCTCTCCCCAACTCCTAGAAATGTGGAATATCTATGGGAGGCAGTATGTAAACTCTTGACCTCCTTAATATAATGGGTAATGATGCTTCTGGTCTAATGCTGAAAAGATTGATACATTTTGCTTTAAGAGCTTTTTTTTTTAATTGGCCAGATAAAGCCATTTTTCTTTTTTTTAAAGGGGTAGGTTATTTTTTAGGATTTGCTGTGCCATGGCTTCTACTGGGACATAAATTTGAAACTCTTCTAATTTTTAAAAGTTAGAACCATATTTTGGATTATATGAGCGAAGATCAATGAATAGAGTTAACACCGAAGCCTTGAAAAGGAGTCAGGTAGTTGGTCACTGCTGGCTGCTCTTAACCCAATTCTATGCTGAACTTTGCAGTAAAAATCAGGGTGGGAATCGATTCAGCAGAATCCCATGTTTCACGTGGATTGCTGTGAAGGCTCTGGTCAAGTGATGTTCCCAGAAACAAAACAAGCTACCGACATAAAGAAAGTCTAATTAAACTCTGTGTAACTAGGCAGTGATTTTTCTGCAAAAATAGGTTGTAGAGGGACTAGACCGTAACACTTTAAATTGGAATGTACTTGTATTTCTGTGTGGTAAGATTTTGTATCACCTGTGAAATGACTTTGATCTGCTGGAATCATTGATTGTAAGATTTCAGATCTCATCTGTGATGCTGAAGCTATTTCAGCAGTTCTGTGTGAGACATAAATGTCACTGTTTATTTGATAGAGCAGACATAAGACTAAGGCCTAGAGAAGTAATTCTATTCTTTTTATCGTTCCTCATTTATTTTTTGTTTTCCCTCCTTTTCAATTCTCTTTTCTAGAAGGATAAAGCTACCATGAGGAATGTGCGGATTGGATATGTATTTGCGTGCAGGGTCTGGGATAGCCCACCTTCGGTGTAATCATTTTTTTTTCTATGACATTATACTAGTTTAAAATGTGGTTATGGCTGGGAACTTTAACTCCCGTAGTCAGACAGGGTAAATTGGTTTTATAGTTGATAATAGGTAATATTTCTTGAATGCTTACTGCACGCCAGGCACCATGCTTGTGCTTTTTGCGCATTATTTCACTTAGTCTTCCCAATATCGTTGTGAGCGAGGAACCATAACGATCCCCTCTTGATCGATGAGGAGGTCGGGCTTTTAGAGAGGGCGGGTGACTTGCCAGGCCCTCTTCTCACCTGCAGGGCCTATGCTCTCGGCCACTCTCCTTGCTGCCTCCACATCTTTCAAGAATGTCCAAATGCGGCACATTCCCTAATTTTATAGCTCACCACATTCCACTAAGTCAGGGGAGATTGGCAGTGTGTCCTGGCCTGGTCTCTGAAATGCTGGAGTGGAATACTGGATTCAGTTATTGCTTTATCTTCAAGAGGAACCCTTCTGGGTTTCAGTTTCCTTATTTTTAAAATGTGGGACCACCTATACCACTGAGAAAACGGAGGCTCATGTGATGAAGCCCATAGCATAGTATTACTAAAACTCCTCCTGCTTCATACTGTGTAATGGATTTCAGCAGGGAAGGAACGGATTCGTTCCTGTGCACTCAGCTCAAAGCCTGAATAAAGTCCATCCTGAACTAAAATGCAGAGACCCCTCCATCGGTTCACCCACAAACCTGCTCCTGTTTCTATGCCCTGGTTTAGTCATTAACATGTGTTGCCACCCACTGACTAGAAACCTCAGCGTTGGCTCTGCTCCTCCCTCTGGTCTAATCGAGTCTCTCACTAACCCACGATCCCTATGGAGTCTACCTCTGAGAGGTCTTTTGAGTCTTCCTCCCTGCGCTTCTCTGGCTCAGACAGTCCCCACCTGTTCTGGTCAGTTGCCTCTTGGCTCATCATCATCTTCACGCCTACCTACCGCGAATTCCTTCCTCAGCACAGAGCTGGCCGGGGCCCTATTTTGCCTGCAGCTCCCTAGTGAGTTCTTGTCCTCTACTGATTACTATTCAGCCTTCTTAGCATGACGTTCACAAACTGGTTGTAAGCTGATTTCTGTACCGATTTCCCACTCCTCACCATACACCAGGGCACTTCCCCTGCCCTGGGCACTTCCTGGACAAGGTCTCACCAAATCCTTGTCCATATTTGACTTGGGATGCTTTTATTTCCTTCTTCTGTTTGTCAAAATCTGACTTGTTGTTGCCTCACCTCAATACAAAGAAGTGTTCTCTTCATACATTTGCCATCAGAATCTCCTGTCACCTTAAACAAATGCAATTTTATGAAAGTCCAATTTTATCGTAAAGGCAGGGTATTGTTTTCAGAAATGCTCATCACACACAATTTCTTTAAATAATTAAATTACTAGGTATACTTTAAAATACAGTCCTATATACAGCACTTTGGTTTACAGGAACACACCTGTGTTGGTAAGAAAAAACTTATTCTAATATACACTCTGTCCGTCAGTGCATTAAAGAGCGAACAGGCTTGGGCAGTGTTCAGCACCAGGGGCGGTGAGGGACAGATGAGGAGGATGGTTAAGTAGCCCCGGGGAAGTCCTGAGGCCTACAGTCCGGTGGTCATTGGCTAGGTTACTGACCATCTGAATCCACAGCTGTGTCAAGGGCCAGGAAGAGGGCTGAGTTGAGATGACAAGTGGAGGACCGAGGCAAGTTCAAGTAGGAACCTGGTTCCAGGGTAGAGGGTGTGCGGCAGGTAATGATGATTCATGCCTGTGTGCTTTTCAGAACATCGAGCTGAAGGTTGAAGTGGAGAGCCTGAAACGAGAACTCCAGGACAAGAAACAGCATCTGGATAAAACTTGGTGAGTTGCAGTTTGCACTAGATGAGTTCTGGTCCCTTCCAGAGTCTGGCTCACTAACACAAGAATAATAGATTTGGAACCAAATTCCTTACCCTGAACTCTGGCATCTGGATGCCATGTCTAATTCAGGGCTCTGTTACTAAGTCTGATAGACCTTGCCATGGACGGATAAATTCACCAGACCTAAGTTTACAAACTTCCTATTCAATAATCTACTGATATAACACCAAGGGCTGGCATAGAGTTTGGGGGAAATGGGCACGCTCATACACTGCTGACGAGAGTGTGAATTGTGGCCACATTTTTGGTATGTGGCACTACCTAAGTAAAAAAAAATAAACATTTCCTCGGATCAAATAATCCTTAAAAGGATTCCTTACAAATAAAAATCTAAATCTATTCCTTACAAATAAAAACACGGCTATGAAAGGATAAATGTGTAAAGATAATTACGGGATCATTATTTGTAATGGCAAAAACCCAGAAGCAACTATGCATCAATAGAGCAATGGTTGAAGGCATTTTGATCTACCCATACTGTGGAATATTATGCAGTCAGTAAAAAGCATGAGTTAACTCTATCCTGGTGGGAAGTCCCTGACAGACTAAGTAAGGGGGAAAAATGCTGAGTGATGTTTATAGTGTCAGCCCCTTTGAGTAACGGCAAACAGTGCTCTCTTTGTGTATATGTGTTTGTTTGATGCTGCATAGGAAGAAAACTGGAGAATTTCGTATCAAATCCTTTAACATGCTTATATCAAGGGAGTGAGATTGGAGTTTGTGATGGGAAGGAGACTTGATTTTTTTTCTTTAAATAATTTTGAGTTGTTAAAATAGTTACTTTATAATTTATAGTTTTTATAATTTAAAAACTGAGTTTTAAATGATAAGTATTATTAAAATTGCCATTAAAAATAATTTTCAGAGTGTATCCTGTGATCAGCTTACATTCAATCTGATCTGTCAATCTTTCTATTGCTACTTCTCTTGACATTTAGGATGACTAGTCTAGCAAGGTCAGAATACTCAAAACCAGACTCAATAATACACAATATACTGGTGTTATTAAACACTTACTAAAGCATTAAGTGAGCTGATAGCTTTTAGGAAAACATATAAAATAACAATTGAGTAATAGAGTTTGAGATTTGTGTAATGCTTTAAAAATTTTTTATGTCATTTCAGCTTTTAATTAGGTGGCATTATCTATTTTTAGGGATGAAAAAAGTAAGGTACAGGGTATTAAAGTCTTGTCAAATGAGTGGCAGAACCCACATCTTCTGGCATCAATTCAGCGCCTCTGACTTCACAACAGCTGTAGCCTCTTCAATCAGGAATTCCTGGCCAACTGAGCTACTCAGAAAATGTATAACTTCCATTCTCAAGATATTATACTTAGCTTTTGTCTATTGCATTTATCAAAGAATATGGAGTCAAAGTAAAAGTTGATGATTTCTGAGGTCTACCTATTTAGGGGTCTTTCTACTTAGGGTTATTCTTTTGACTTGTGTCCCTTGTACAACTAAGACCCTTCTATCCCCCAGAGACTCAAGTTACATAAAACCTTTGGATAGTACTGAGCAGTGTCCACCAGTAACTAAGGGATCCTGTCATCTTTAGGAAAGCTCCCTTTGGTCTCCATGGACACAGACTTCTGGGTCAAAGTACCAATCGGCTTGGGTAGAGTAGCTTTGATTTATGAAAGTACAGTGGTGCTCTCTGCTCTGAGAACAAGAAGGTGGTCCATGGTTCTCAACAAATGACTTACAGCAGGAAGAAAACCAAACCGGAATTAAGATCATTCAGCACCTGATATTGCCCCCAAATTTCTAATCCTCAGACATCCACAGGCAGCTGTTGTTAGCTAAAAATAAGCTGGTGACACCTGACCCACTGTAGCGCCTGGACATTCATTCCTAAGGACGTCAGAGGACCAAAGCTAGGCCAGAACCCCGATCCTCCGTAGATTAAATGTCTGCTCTCCGCAGGGAGAACTGGATGGGACACTGGCCAGGTAGCCCAGATGCAGGGCAGGTATTTAGGAGTTACTGGGTATAAAGGAGGAGAGCATTTCTGTGGCTGTCCAAATGGGTATTCTGTCCCAGCAGTGGAAGGAACACTTGCAATTCAAATAGCAAGAAAGGCAGGGAACTAGCAAAGCACTCTGGGAGGATAAGCCTGAGTGGAAGAGTTCCTGGATAGAAGATAGTGGACATGGAGGCTGAGTTCTGAACAGTTTGATGGCGACTCACCTTCCAAATGAAAGATCCCCCCAGGAAGCTATAGGAATAATGAAACCTCTAGGGCAGGGATGGGGAAGGTCTGGCTCACGGGCTGTAGAAGGCCCTCGAAATCATCTGGTCTGGCCCTACCAAGGCATTAGGGGTGAGTTGATTAAATGTTTGACCAAAATATAGCAGGCTAATGTTTATGTTGATAATTATGTATGGCCCACGAATGATGCTATACATATCCAAATGGCGCTTGGCAGAATAAAGGTTCCCCACCCCTGCTCCAGGGAGTCAAGTGTATTCTGATGGACAAGCAACAAAAACTTAAGAGTTCCTGGAAAGGTAGGAAAAAGCAGTTCTGAAAATAGTCGCCGAGGGGGAAAGCCTTCATTCTTCTCCTCATTCATCAACGTGTGAAACAGCCGACATGGGTTCACGAGCTAAATGACGGGACTGGCTCTCACCGGCCCGTGCTCTGCGGTTTCAGTGCCGATGCGGAGAGTCTCAGCAGCCACAATGAGGCCGAGCTCCGGCGCCAGGTTGAGGAGAGACAGCAGGAGACGCAGCATGTCTACGAGCTCCTGGAGAACAAGATCCAGCTTCTGCAGGAGGTAAGCAGGGGCCCAGGGCCAGGCTCCCTGCCCTGCTCCCTACTGCTCTGCCCCTGCATTCACCTTTCCTCCCCTCTTGTGCTCCCCAAACGCATGGAGTGTCCCCGCGTTTTAGGGCTCTTAACCTCGGTGGGGACTCCGCACTCTCTCAGTTTTTGTTCGTTTTGCAGGAATCCAGGCTAGCAAAGAATGAAGCTGCGCGGATGGCAGCTCTGGTGGAAGC